GCGTTATTACAATAAAACAAAACTACACTATACCAAACCCATATATTTACGTGCGACTGCTGGGCACGGTGTCCTATAAGAAGATGTTTCAAACTACATGTAATCCATAAACTGGCCCGATGTCAACACTTCACAAGTTTTCGAGAAACAGAACAAAATTCAAATAATCATTTCGCAAAAATAAAAAACACGCATACAGAGCACTTATGTATGCTTTTTACGATTGTTATATGCGTATCTTTGTTATGATTGAGAAATACTAAAAAGTTATGTCTGAATTTCTTCAGTGTAAAGGATCTTGTTAAACCAGTCAAATGACAAATTAAACGGGTTCCGTTTTTGAGTAGCGGTAGACGATCCCATTGTTCTGCAATGATTCCAAGTAATTATTCTATTTTCCATTATGACAACATTGGTCTGTCTTGTGAATTTATTTAATTATATTTAATTACATTATATTATGTATTATTATGTTATCTTTTATTAGAGAATTGGGTAGTTGAACGTGTCATTATGTTTTTTTTTCATTGAAAGAAAAAGTTAGGAGCATCACAGTAAATCGTCAAGTTCGAATTTCAAAAACCTTTTCCACGCTAACTACAAGAAATAGAATGACTCAACTAGATTTGGATCACATTTGTGATATCTTACAATTGGTATAAAGTTATGAAAGTCTGAAAATATTAATTAAATTCTTTAATACCAGATTTAAATAAAACGGCATGACATATGAACGTGTTATTCAAAATAATTTGAATAATATTGCGATTTGGCCCTGTTGAAATGTTAAAGGCGGGATCATATTAGCATATTACAGCTAGTGACCTCGCTGAATCTTCTATGACGTAGTTTTCGCGTATGGTTTGCTAAATTTATGGATATTATTTTTGAACTACGGTAGTCTTTTACTTAAGTGCAGATAATTTAAAAATAATAATAATACTGACAATTAATAAGGTGGTAACAAATTAGTTACAGATAATTTTAAAGTCGTTACAAACGAAACGTATAAAATACAAAAATGTGAAATACCGTGACGTTGATCTTTTTAATTTTTAGGGTGCCTTCATATTGGACACTTATAGAAGCGGTGCAACCGCACCACTACTGATTTTCATACAATATTTAGAAGCGCAATTACACCGCCACAGGTGTGACTTGCGCGCGCCAGTTTAGCAGTCACAATAAGTGAACTAAACATCACTGAAGCGCTAAAGGCGCGCGGCGTCGCACCGCAATCGCTCAACTGCAGCGCTTCTAAAAACGTTTAATTTGAAGGCGCCCTAATAGTGATGTGATTAGTAATAGCTAAAAGATTTCAGAAGATAACAATGACATAACAGTGGTTTTAATCACTTAGTAGTATTGTTATTAACAGGATGTGTTCAGTTGTTTTCTTAAATTTCTCGACACACTAATACACAGTAAGATATTACATCTAAGTAATTATAATGAGAAAAGTAGGAATTGGCTCTGGAAGATCCGTACTTAATTCGTTAGCACCCTGTATTGCTACTGCACGTATGTTTTTGAAACACATGAAACGTTTCAAAATTATTTCATTTCATTATCTAGTGATGCTATTTTTCGCTGAAAACTAGTGTTTGTAATTTGGCGCCTTTAATATTAATTAAATGTAATTGAAGTAGTAAATGCTCGGAAATGTTTAAAAATAAATAAGCAAAATAAGTGTGGAAATCCATTATTGTCCTCTACTCTAACTTTTAAATATACCTATCTACTAACAAAAAGCTATGTAAACAGACTCAAGAAACCTGTCATATAGCCAACTGTTCACTAGCATCAGTGCTCGTAATTGCGAGAATTAAAAAATATTGCATAGTATTACTTATTTTGCGTTTAAATAATTTAAAGTTTAAATAAGGTGCACGATAATATAGAAAGAGCTTGCGTAATGGAATCTTATAATATTATAATAAATGGGTGCAAACATATTAAAAAATGTGGTGCTATACCTCCAACTCATACTTTAAACAAGGCGATAAAATAAATGAAAATACTTTGAAGTTCTTTTTGTTACTCCTATTTTTGAATAGTTTATATTTTCTTCGCTGAAATGAGTTCTAGTGAAACGAAAATGCAATAACGGATTGTACTCCACCTAATTTAAAACAAGATGCAAAATGTGTCAAAGAATTTTAATAATTATTTACTTTTTCTATTATAATATATTGTCCTTCATTTTTTAGTCTTTATTTCCTCGCATTGTTTGAGAAAAGTACTATATATATCTCGACGGGAACGTGGATTACCTGACTCGTGTACCTAATAACCTTGTAACTCAAACTCGTCTCGCAATCTTTTACTTCCCAGCCTCTGCAATAATGTACTATATTATCTAAGAATAAACTTACTGTGTATTATATTCCTTCCCGTTATATTAATCAGTGAAATGTAAAGGTGAAATGAACAATGAGAAATCACAAAAGCGTAATATATAAAGTATTACAAACTAACAAAAGGAGCAGTAAATCAGAACCGCGAATACATTCATTTGTTTCCAAAAGATAACAAATACGAAGAGGGGAAAATCCAATCGGAATATAAAAATTATGACAGTTTAAAAGTAGGCAGCATTTACATAAAACTACTATATCGGAAATGATATACATTCTGTGTTCGCCCCATTTGTTTGTTTCATCCATATGAAAATTTTTACGCCCCGATATCGATTTATTAAAACACTGTAACTTCATATTGCTCGCATTACTTTAATAATATAAATAAATAAATTTGTTCTCTAGCAAAATATAAAATATACACAATAAAAACCAAAACGTATGAGAACTGGTACTGGTTAACTACCAGCAACCTTCCAGTATCACAAAGATACCTACAATTTATATTATTTTAAAGGAAGATGATAAAATAATGTTCTACAATAAATAATAGTAGCAGTAGAACTCCCCGTCATGGGGGCTTACCACAACCTCTTAAAACAATATTACTTTAGCCTTACATTGACTTTTCGTACCATGACGCGCTTATGCTTGACGCGAAAGTAAGCTTATTATTATGTTAAAACTATGATGTTTTAATGGCAGCTTTGTGACTATTCATTCACTCAGTTCGTACTATGACGCGACTTTAACAATAGAGTAATATTGTTTTTCTGTCAAGTTTTACAATCTTAAAATAGTTACTCGGACGCAGTGGAAACAATATTATTTTCGAATTTATTTATTTGCATAAATGTCTTCAATAATTTGTTTATTTTTTATTTAAAAGTACATAGGAATTAATTGATTGAACGATGTTTATTTCGTAAAATTATAACAGCGACACTATAGTCGTCACCAAATAAGAGGTCAAATTTGACATTTGTCATCGTGACGCGAATAGGGATATGGTCTAATCATATCGGTAATCACATTATACGATTTTCACGAGAAATCGATTCAAGATTTTAAGAGTTTATGATTGTTTAGATTATTTTTCGGTTCATTGTTGTTCAAGGGGCCTAAAGGCTAAATCGTGCAATTCTGTTAAAGCAATTCATTCACAGAATTCGTTGCAATTCTGTAGCAATTCCTCTTATTTTCGTAAACTTGTCCCACATTCCGAATAATTGTACCTATCGAATTCTTTTAATTTTGATTTTATAATATTCATAAATGGTTTATTACGAGAATTTAGTGTAAATAAGTATGTTCACCAATAATACCACTACATAAGCCAATATTTTTTTCGAGAAATCGAAGCGACTCTGTGAAATTTGGCGATTAATTGCTTACTACACTATTATTTTTTTTTTAATTCTTGAGGCCTTAACTGTTTTCAGGACGTATCGGAGTAACTCAAAATTGCACGTTATTTTGGAATTCGTGCGAAAACAGTACTTCAAATATGTTTTGTCATATTATATAATGTTTCAATAAAATTTATGTATTTATTTTAAATTCAATTATGCTAATAATTGTTCGTTTATTGTTTGGTTGATCGCATTCAAAGTTACATAGCATCGCCATTTGGTGACGACTTTAACCGTTGACACAAGAATATAGTGTCGAATTCACAACGTATCTATCAAGACTCAGCATGTTCTATTTATTTTCTTCATGAAAATGCGGAAAAATAATTGAAAACAACGTACATAATTTTAATAGATTTTATTATTACATACTTTTCTTTTTTGAACAGTTAATATTCTCTGAATGTAAATAACATTAAATACTTAAACATTACGCTACGATAAGACGACTCGGAACATCAAAAAAGAAAGATATGGCATTATATAGTTCATATAGCGTTATTTCTTGCCTATTTTTTGTAAGGGATAGACAATATTGGGAAATCATTCGTTCTTTTAACCACTTTAGCAATAATACATTACTAGGTTGACAGATTTGTCATGGTACGAATACGAGTAATATTATAATAAGCTTACTTTATGCTTACATTAAAATAATATTGTTTTTGGAAAGGTTATGGTAGGCCCCCAGGGAAGTACTGCCGCCTTATCTCTGCCGCCAAATGTGAGCATTACTCTGTTCCTGTGTTGTAGGGTGGCCGCACAGAGTATTTTAACAAAAGTTATAATAGTTACGTGTTTGAAGCATCGTACAGTCAAGAGCACGTCAAGCTTGACACTTTGTACTTTGGACCGTTGTTACCGTAAGCTGCATAGAGTTGGATTGAAGTCTTAAGTGTCAAGCTCGACGTGCTATTTATTGACCCTGTACAAAGTTTACTTTTTGAAAAGTACTACTACAATACTTCCGTAATAAGCTAGTTTATTACAAAATTAAATATAAGCCCATTAACAGCACCATATTGATACAAAATATGAAAATAACGTAAACATTGCGTTTCCATTCAACGAGTATACAATTACCCATTGTGTGACGAACGTACAAAACAAACTATCTTTCAGATCTTCCGTGTTGCTGAACAAAAAGATCTTTATCAGAAATTGTTAAGTAGGTTATATAAAAGAATATTACGCAGATTCCCATACTGTCACATTTTCTGATTCAAATATGTGGGGTGCAAAATTTTTTCAACTATTTTTTGTGCCTTTATTGTGGTCTAGAGGAGCAGTAGCTGAAGTAAGTTTGGCTTTTTTTTTTTATTTCATCTTCATTTATATTTTTTTTTATGTAAAACGCGCACACTAGGCCGTAACCTCATCCGATGTAACCGACAATAATTGTCTGAAAAATACCTTTATACACTTATTTTAGTAGCAGCAGAGTTCGTAGTGAAAGAGTTAGGCCACGGAAGTACCGCCACGTTATCTATTTCTGTCTCCAAGTAGTAATTTGAGCATTACTGTGTTCCGGTTTTGAAGGGTAAGGGTGCTGATGAAATTAAAGGCATATGAAACTTTTCAACTTATGTCTCAGGTCGAGCGCATTGACAGTGCCCCTCAGATCTTTACAATTTATATGGATAGGCGTGCCGTTTACCACCAGGCGCAAGTTTCCGGAAACAGAGATTCTGGCAATGTATTCCTTTCTTTTGCCGTATGCATTAGGAATATGAAAGCAGAGCGCTTCGTGAGAATGGATGGCAAATCAATGACTTAATGGAACGTTCCTTCTATGAAACAATAATGTACTTTGATTAATTGATACTGCTTATACAGTCTGATTTTTTTAAATTGAACATGGAGAAATTCGGAAACAGATACAATGGAACTCAAACTATTAGGCATTTTTTGTGAAAACAAATTTGACATAGTAAAGTTTTTGATAAGCGTGTGATGCCCATAAAAAAGAATATTACCGACAGTTTTTATAATGCTGATTGACTTAGTTTCTTGTAAAATCATTCCATTGTATCGGAAGAAAAAAATTGGGGCAGCAATTAGTCAAATTTAATAAAATATTTTTTTCATTCAATAGGATTTTTTTTAATAAAAAGTAAGTTACGGGAGGAACAAGTACGCACGAATTTAGTACATCACGGACGTAAAGTACTAAATTAATCATAGTCCAAGTACAAATCACTTAAAAAGTGTTCATTATTGTTTTTCCTGTCAAATATGAAAGACACAAAGCTGAGCGATGGAACGTTTTTATGGCACTCAAAAGTTTTCACAGATGTAAGAACTCCTGGCAATTACAAACTCCATGAATTAAATTTAAAAAACTTAAAATGTCAAATTTAGAAACAACTTTGTTTTAACTGTTAAAACATGCTACGTGCCCGTACCTACTTACAGCAAGATGAAGGTCATATTGAATATTTATTGAGGTATTAAGTAGTTCTGTTAAGGTAACAAATTATATGAAAACATTTTATTAAATTTGACTAAGTTCTGCTGTCCCGATTTTTTCTTCCCGTACAATGAAATTAATGATCCTCACAATAAATTGAGTCGATCAGCATTTAAAAAAATGTTAATATTATTCATGGTTATAGACAATGCACTGTGATTCCCCCATAGGCCATAAATCAAAAAAAATCATTGGCTTATCCCGGTTAGATCAACTCACTAAGTTAGTAACTAGTTAACAAGCTTCCAAAAACTATAAATATCAATGTAATTAGGTCACGTTATCATTCACTTTTGTGCATCGGAAGTGAGCGCATCGCGAGACTAATTATCACCACGTGTGAGTCATCGAAACTTAATCACTTTGTTTTTGAGTGTCACTATTCCAAATCAAGTGTTTACGTGTTGTGAAAGCATGGAGATCCAAGAGCATGGTATGTACTTTTATTATCAATTTTTTTTAATTTTTTTTATGCATACTTTTTTTTATATAATTTTTTTATTGAAGGCAGTTTTTTGGTGAAAATTTTTGGCATAACTTAATTTCCTTTAGACCTACAACTTTTGGCTGCGCTGAGCTGCACCTGAGGTATATGGTTTTTGAATAAGGAGTATGTCCTTATTAAGAGCTATAAGTTTCATTTGCATCTTGCTGCCTCTTCTTGGCTTAAAGGGGTGTCAAAGTATGCATGTCCATAGTATTGAATTTTTAATTTTTTTTTAAGTTCAGCTTTCATATTGTTTTAGGTACATTTTTCAAATGTTCTGTATCGAGGATGACAATTTTTGATATTTGGCACTCTAAAGTGGGTAATCCAAATGAAAAAAAGGAACACGTCCTGAGCACTTTGACCGAAACATCATCCCTTTCTGACGACATCGAAAATATTGATTTAGAGACTTTAAGCCTTAAAATTAAGAATATTTGTAAACGAATTTCCCACTACTGGGCAAAGTCGAATCGTACTAGATCTAAATTCTTAGAAAAATATTCAGATTGGCTGCATGTCGTTGAAAATATTGATGTACAGCGAACTGAGTTACGTGTATCTCAGAGCTTTGACGAAGTTAAACCATCAACTTCTTCATCGCATGGCCGTCCGAGAATTAACTTTGACGACACCAGTAAACGTACAAAAAGGAGAAGATTGGCTAGTTTGTCTAACCAAGACCCTTCTCTTGTACAGTCATTGCTCAATGCGTCCGATAGCTTGTCTTGTCCTGAAATCGATTCTAGCGAAGTTTTATCGCTCATTGTTGAAGCTCAGTTAACTCGACATCAATATATATTAGTAAAGAAATTTATAGACAATAAGTTTTCAAAAACCATTTTCCCATCTTACCAAAGTGTCGTGGAATCTAAAAAACACTGTTATCCTTCAGATATTACTGTTACAGAATCATCCGCCGAAGTCGAACTTCAAAGTTTATTAGATCATACTGCCAATCGGATTCTCAAGTCTCAAAAAGATGTTTTGGATAGTGTACCTAATGAGTCTCTAGATAAGATATCTTTGATAGGGAAATGGGGTTTCGATGGCAGTACAGGGCATTCAGAATATAAACAGTGTTTTTCTGACTCCACTCTTGAAGACAGTAGCCTGTTTGTTACTTCGTATGTGCCACTTCAGCTTGTTTTGACAACAGATAACAAAGAAAATTCAGTAGTTTTGTGGAAAAATCCTCGTCCTTCATCAACTCGATACTGTCGTCCTATACGCCTCCGATATTTGAAGGAATCGACTGCAGTGTCAGTTGAGGAAGAAGCTCATTTTAAAGATAAAATAAGGAACTTGCAGCCTACTGTTTTCAAGGAAGTAGATCGCGAATATCGCATTACTCATTGTTTGCAACTTACTATGGTAGATGGTAAAGTGTGTAATGCACTTAGTGGTGTTTCTTCATCAAAATGTTTTATTTGTAACGCCTTGCCCAGTGAAATGAACAAAATTGACGAATGTTTAAATAAGGAAGTCGATGAGAGTAAATATGAATTTGGTTTATCACCTCTTCACGCGTTAATACGTTTTTTTGAATATTTTGTTCATGTCGCGTACAAGTTAGATGTTAGGAAATGGCAAGCTAGGTCCGCTAATGACAAAATGCTTGTTGCTGCAAAAAAAATCATATGTTCAGACTCAATTTAGAGAAAGATTAGGGCTTATAGTGGATAAGCCTAAAAGTGGCGGAAGCGGAACATCAAACGATGGTAATACAGCCAGGCGGTTTTTCTCGAATTCAGAAATTTCCGCTGAAATTACTGGGATCAAGAAGGATCTCCTAGATCGTTGCTGGATCATCCTTCAATGTTTAAATTCGGGATATAATATTAATAAGACGAACTTCGAAGAGTTCGCTTTAGAGACGGCTCGGCAGTTAGTTGCCGAGTATCCGTGGTATAACATGCCTGCTTCCGTTCACAAAGTTCTAATTCATGGTGCTAATGTTATAGATTACGGTTTGTTGTCAATCGGAGAGTTGTCTGAAGAAGCAGCTGAAGCGACTAACAAATACATCAAGTCTTTTAGAAAAAATCATACGCGTAAAATGAGTCGCATTGTGACCAACACAGATTTAGTAAATAGGCTGCTTCTTCATTCAGATCCCTTCATAACAGGTCTACGAAAGTTACCTGTTAAAAAAAAAGGTGTACTGTCAAAAGCTGTATTAGACTTGTTATGTATTTAAAGTTAATATTGTTGAGATTTAATGTATTTTGGTATAATTTGTGTTTTGTTTGTATTTTGTAAAATGAACTTTTTTATGTATTTTTATTGTTTTAATTTATTCATTTGTGGTTATTGTTAATACAAATAATCATTATTTACACAGTTTTACCATTAAAAGTCGCAGTATAAAATGTTTTAGATACATCGTCTAAAAACAAAATTAATGCGAGACATTTTTACACCTAAATATTGTCAAATATTTTTTAAAATGTATAATTTTATTAATTTACGTTTACCTAATCATATTTTAATGTAATAAAATAAAAAAATAATAATAATTTCGGAGTTACGTATTTATGACCGCCTTAGTATGGAGCGTGAATCACCGTGCAATGCACGCTTAACCAAAAAAATACTATGTGAAAATTGATTTTTAACTAAAAAAAAACCTTAGACAGTTTCCATGTATTTCCTATGGTTCCAGAATTCCCCATATTGTCTCAGTTAAAAAATCACACTGTATATATGAATTTGTCGAGCAAAATAATTTAATTTAACAATGAAACTATTTTCTCGGATCTTAATCGCGTATACTTGTTTTTTCAAATAAACCAACGTTTCGGGCTCTTTACAGGTCCCATGGTTAAAGCTGCCTAAGATGGTAAACTGACGCAAACCACCCTATTCTGAAGTATAGACAAAAATTATTGATTTAAATACCTTATTATATATCAAATTATAGAACAATGTTAATTTCACCATTAAAAAGGAATTTCCTCAGGGGAATTTATCTCCGCCTCTTTGAACAAAGTAAACGGTATCTAAATGCATCGTTACAGGGGTTCTACTCCCTTCTTCGTCCAAAACAATTACTGTCAAATAAGTAATACTCAATGATTATCACTAATATCAGGTTTCTTACCACGGTATGACTTCTTTTTATTTTCCCGTTATTTCGGAACGGTTGCACGCTCCATGGTCACGGGTTGACTGGACGGCGGTAGATGACAGCTTTAAGAGCAGACATATCTGTCTACCCTCTTGCCCTGTCGACGACTACCTTCATCGCGATTTGTTGTGGCGTTACCATTGTCACTCACTTTTTTCACACAAACCACGCTCACTGTATCCACACGCGAAACTGAACTCGAGGTGTTTTTGTTTTTATTACTGTTTAAAACCAGTTTAAAACCATCATCACGGTTAAATGTTTTGTACTTCGTGATCTCAATGGCTTCTCGTACCAACCGTGGTATGTAGTGACGTTCTGTCGAGAGTACCTGGGGGCTGTGCAACTGGATCCAGTGGTTCGTGTCAGTGCTATAGCCGACTTCTGTGCATCATTGTTTTTTACTGCTCGGATGTGTTCCTTCATACGATCGACAATTGCTCGTTTAGTCTGACCGATATACGAGCTCCCACAACTGCAGTTCACTTTATAGACACCCGGTGTTTGTAAAGGAAGGTGGTCTTTTGGTGAACGTAACATTTTTCCTATTTTGGTTAAGGAGGTGAAAACAGTTTTTATTGAATGTTATTTTAAGGAAGTTTTCCATAAAAACTTTAGAGTTTGTGATTATTTTTCAGTTCATTGTTGTTCAGGGAGCCTAAAAGGCCAAATCGTGCAATTCAGTTAAAAGCAATTCATTTACAGAGTTCCTTTCAAATCTGTAGCAATTCCTTCCGATGAATTGTATCCAATTCTTTTAATTTTGATTTTATAATTATTAAATAATTATATAATAATTAAATAAATAGTGTATTACAAGAATTTACTGTCAATAAGTATGTTCATCGATAAAACAACTATATAAGTCAATATTTTTTCTGAGACATCGAAGTGACTCGGTGAAATTCGGCGATTAATTGCTTACAACTATTAACTATTATTTAAGATAAAATAGCCTGAGGACGTAACTGTTTTCAGGACGTTTCGGTGTTACTCAAAATTGCATTTTATTTTGGAATAAAATAATATTGTGCACAAAGCTGTCTCTACTTTATTGAGTTAATTTACTTTAAAAAACATGACACATTGTGACTACAAAGGAAGGTTAACGTATGGTACTTTGTGGGTTATGTTGATCATGCAGCAGTCAACAATAAAAACCAATAAAATACCAAACCGGAGTTATATTTCTTTGGCCTAGCAAGCAGACACTTTTATACTCCTATCTGTTGCCCTTAGAACAGGGTTTCTTAACCTTTTATTTTCGTCAAGTATTACTTATTTGACAGTAATTGTTTTGAATGAATGTCAGATGGAGAACGGGAGACAGAAGAAGACCCCCCTGGTTCAAAATCGCTAACGCTAGTTGATTGGAACAAAAAGTCTTCTTAGACTGAGCCAGTGCATACAAATGGACAAAAAGAAAAATGTGTTAATTTTGGTGTAAATTTTTTTGTGGTTGTAGGTGCGCTATGCTTGTGCATTTTCAGAAGAAGTACAGGAGTGTCCCAATTTCAAAAATGAGTACTTTGACGCTTCCGGGTTGAAGCTCAGCGATGATGATGGCTTAGGGCTTTCAGGAGCCTTAAACGTAAAAGTGGCCGTAGACGTAGGAGATGAGGTGAGTTTTCTATAAAAAAAACGTAAAATAACTATGTAGCTTAGTACAGAATGTAACAAAACGGATTTTTACGCAAAAAAAGTGTGCATTTGACCTCTATCTCACCTAATGGAAAGTGACAATGAGATCGACGACGGAGTATGCACACCTAAATAATGCCTATTCACTCTCGCCTTGAAAAGGTTCAGTTATAGCGTTCGGAGAATAAGTCCTCAGGCAGGGAATTCCACTCCCTATCCGCTCGCCATATAAATGTGGAAGCGAAACGCTTCGTGCGAATCCTGGGAATATCCACAACATATGGGTGGAATCCTAGCCCACATCTAGTCCCCCGTTGATGGAATAGGAAGGCGGAATCAAATCATGCAATTCCATTGCACACTCGCCGTGATATTATATCCTGTAGAATATCGATAAACAGGCAACTTTACGACGATGTTCAAGCAGCTTTGCTTCTACGAAATCTGAGTCATATAAGCCTATAATCCAAGATGGCAATTTGGTATTTAGCAGAGCCATCCCATAAGTGGCAGCAGTACTCCATACATGACCGTATTTCTGGTTGGTACAGCCACCCGAGAGATGGGGATTACGGGCTCGACGGCAAGACCAAGGCACAGCGGGCGTCTGGGCCAAGCTCTCCGCCAGTGATATGCCGTTGGGGGCGTCTCTGGCGGACCCGGACTTGGGTATGGACTCGCTGGGGTTTGTGGTTAGCTGCAGAGGCGGACATGTTTGTCTGCCCCGGTTTTGCATGTTTCCGAGACGCCTGTCTCGTGAGCAGCTAGCGCGTCTTAGTAGCGGTCTAGTTGAGGGCCTGAAGCGAGGAGACGCGAGGGGCACATGTGTTGCCCCATAAATTGGAAACTATGTCCGGACATTGTCGCAAGACACTGCGACTGGCATCTCCGGCACTAGCCCGGAGAGCTAGTAGAGGATAAGCTAGATATCCTCCAGTCCCTCCAGCCGCTTAAGTTATTGGGAACTGGAGAGACGTCGTTTTTCGGCGTCGGAAAGTGAGCGTACCTTACAGCTCTACCACCAATGAGGAGATTTGGTAGTGGACTCAGAGTCGACGGCTTAGAGGTGGTAACCGCTAGTTGTGCAATGCCCAACGGGAAGTGAGCGTGCCTACAGCTAGCAGTACCTATCTGGAAAATAGGGAGGGTACTGTACGTGCACCCGGGGCGGCTCACTCGAGGCATTAGCCTCTCGAAGAACCGGATGAAGTCAAGTGACAGAGGTCTGTGAGAACCCTGTACACTGGTTGATCTGGGATCAGAACCTGAACTTACAAGGTTCCTGTGCGCGCACAGATTATAGTGCCCTTCTCGTATGCCCTAAGAGTAGGTAGGGAGGGTCACTATAATCAAAACTAACGTAGAAAGATACAGGAGCTTATTCCGGCGTAGTAACGCCTCACCTTGGAAAGGATGCGAAGCTTCCTGGCTGCATTTTTGGCCATGAATTCAATGTATCTGCAACATGCAATCTTTATCTGCAAAAAAACAGTCAACAACACGCTCTACCTCGACAATCGGGCTGTCCAACCGGTCGTCGACCACAAGGACTAACCATTTAGGTTCTTTTCATCGCTCTATGAGCTGGCATCCGCCGTTCTTGTATTATAGGTACTTATTCAATTACTAGGATTCGAATTAAGTTTTAGAGTGAAAACAAAATGAGTATAGTATTAGTGATACAAAAATACAAAGAAACATTTCTTCCACCCGACTGGACTCGAAGTAATTTTTCTTTGTGTTTGTTGGACCTTTGCATCAATAATAATAACACACTGGTGGAGTATTTTCACAAAAAAAAATTATCGATATCATGATAGCACAAGTATCACGATATTCAATAAAAATAAAAATGAAGTTCTAAAACTTAGTACAGATATTTCATGTTGTTTTTTATGTTTGTAGATGTGCGCAGATGTGTGGAAAATGACAGAAGTTGGTAAAGAGATGGTGTTCAGTGCTTGTGGAGATATTTGTGATAATCTGGATGATAAAAACAACCCATGGTATCCATTATTCGATAAAATGAACACTAAATCGTGTCCTATTGAGGCTGTAAGTAGCAACGTTTACTTACTACAGAAAAATTATGTAGGTACCTAAAAATACAAAGATCGAACACAAAGAAAAATTCCTTCGATCTAGCTGGGCTCGAATCACCAACCTCACCATACCGGGGCATACGGGGGCATATCGCTCTCCCAATAGAGCTATGGAATGAGTCAGCAGACCTTTGAATTTCTCTAAATACTTGAATATTTTTTAGCTGTTGTTGTAAATCATATATTTAACGTGACTGCAACTTAAAAGAGTGTACCGATGTATAAAGAAGTTGGTTGAAAAGGCGGAACCAGTCATTATCTAAGTATTTCCATGTGTGAAAATTTTAATGGGGAAAAATCTACTTTAACATATCTCCTGTAGTTATTTTTTCAAATTCAAGATCTGCTTCTGAGGAACACAAAGACCTACAAAGATATTATAATTGTAGATATTATTAACTTTTTTCTGAAATCGACAAACGCAAGATATAGTGTTTTCATTATAAAACAATAAAAAACCAAAATCTTACTTATTTATAAAATTAATACGTAAATTTATACGTAATTAGCTTACGTGTTCATGGTCCTTTATTGTTATATTTCAGAAAGTATATGAAATCGATAACATGATAATTGACTTGGCATTTGCGAACGGCGTGATGTGTCACGAATTTTGTGCAGAATATGAGGTGACACTGTCGGTTAAGGATAAAACGGACCAAAAGTCCTGTAACATCCTTAACATCGTTATTTACGAATCCAACGACGATGCGAATGAGGAAAAATAATTTATGTACATTTTTAAGTTTTCATTAAAGTGTGTCCAACATTTCACGTTTTTGCTTTATGGATCATAAATGGTATATTGACGAGCATGTTAAGTAACGACTACAACCACAACACATTTCTTTTTAAGTACGATTAAATGTAATGCTTAAAGGAAGATTTATTCAAATGTAGAACATAATCTATCATTACCACAAAACTTACTAAACTATAAAAAATAAATGCCGCTCTCCTGTTGTTTGTATGAGATCCTGTATTTTTATAATTAGAAATATAAAAGCAACAAAAGAGGGGGGTACAAATATGGGGTATAAATTTATATTGCGGCGGGTTCCAGCCAACTTCAAGCGTTATTAACTTTTTCCTGCAGTCGGAACGCTTGCGGTCAGCGGCAAAAAATTTGCTGCACACATTAATTTTACCGTACGGTAATTACGAATTTGGGAATGCTTTAATGAACTCATTACGGGAGTTTGTTTTCCTAGCATTGTTCCGGCCCTTAAAACTTTGCTATGAACACTCATGTAAATTCAAATAAAGGTCCCTTTAATCGAAATAATTGGATTTTTGCAATCAGAAGTATGTATAGTTGAAGGGAGCGAAAGTTAATTTTTAGTATCAGAAAGCTCCTTGTGAAAGGTGTTCATTCAGGGGAGTACTGCGATCTTGCTTATTTCCGCCGCCAAGCAGCAATGTGGGTATTACTGCGTTCCGGTTTTGAAGGGTAATGGTGCTGGTGGAACAGATACATGGGACTTGTCAACTTATGTCTCAGGGTAACGGCCGCAGTGGTAGTGCCCTTCACGTATGGACAGGCATGTACAGTATGGGCAGGCGTGTCGCTTATTACCGGCACACGACTTGCTCGTCCCGTCACTTGGTGTCATAAAAAAAACAACGATTGTCAAATTAAAAATGTTTAATCTACAAAGATCCCTTGACATCTAAGAGGGTAGATGATCAAATTATGCGCATAACATTACCGCTCTACTTAATTTGATTGTCAGTGACACCTATGCAAATCGCGCGTAACGGCTAATTGAATATCTTTGTACCGTGTGGGGATAAATGCCTTTTGGGACTCAGTGCCAAGTTGGAAAGCATTAAATACGGTGAGTTATTTATGGAATTCACACCCTTACTCTAATAAGGCCACATCTGCAAAACGACAGCTTTTGAAGAGAAAGGTTTAAAAATTCAACTAACGAAATTTGTTTAAATAGCAGGGTTATAAATTTTCACATAATATTTTCCAAGAAGTTCGTATTTTTATGACCTTAATGTGATAAAAGCACTTTTGACTTTTAATAACAAGTGGCTTTATTATAATAAGGGCATGAATTTATCTTTTTACTGAATCTATCTACTTTCTGAATTTGAGAAAATGCGACATCACTTTCTATAAAGTAGACCGATAGTCTATTTGAGGGTTTGCAGTCTTTGCAATAAAGTATACCTACCCACTCTTAATGCATAGCCAATTACTTCTTTGCAGAGTACTTATAAATGTGTGAAGGCTACCCCACCAAGTTTGTGACCACAAATAGAGCACTAAGAGCCTATGCACACGGCATATTTTATACGCGCTGACGACGCGAGTATACGCGCCGTTAAAGCGCGTCATCTGCGCGTATACGCGCCGCAGACGCGTTGTAGCAGCGCGTACTAGGTATCGCGCATTTTGATAAGAGTTTTATTTTAGTTTTGTTTGTTAATTTGAATTAGTTTTTGAAATGAAGCAACTACATGAAAGATATTCGAGTATATAAGCTTCACGCTTGCAACGCGATGTTTGCTCATGTTTGAATCGATTCAGTACAGCCCATCGGCGGCGCGTATAAAATACACCGTGTGCATAGGCTCTAATTAATGAAACACATTTAAATTACGATCATTTTTTTTCTAAATTTAAAATGTCTGCTATTTATTGGTGGAACGCATCGTCGATCTTATCCAATCATCGTAACTGGCAACGGAAGTATACACTCCTGGCCATCCATCTCTTCCACAGCCATTGCCGAAGGAGACCACTCCTATCGTTTCCCATATACCATTAGATAGTTTCCTCATCAAAGGTCCTCCGGAATCTCCTTTGCAAGAATCCTGAGCATAAGCACCACCAGCGCAAAGCTGCTTTTCTGACAATTCTGCTCCTAAAGGCCTGTATTTGTTGAGACAGTCATTCTTATCAAATATTGGTAGCCCGAGCTTCAGTTTAACTGGACTCTTTTTACCTGAAATAGATAATAATGCAGATATTACGCAATTATAACTTACACCAGTGCCCAAATAAGATACGATCGTAAAGTAAAAATGCGAGAATTTACATTTCGATGTCTACATAATACTACACAGCTAATGAAAATCTCTCAGCGGTATAATTTTATCATTAAATAATAATTTATTGCCAGAACAGGTCACGAGTATCTGGAAATGTATATCTGTGATCTTTTTTATTCTATCCTACACTATAATAACTCGTAGGTACTGGTACAAGGAAAATTATTAACAAAACAGTAAAAAAGAAATACGGATAACTAAGGAAATAAGTTAAAATATACACTCTAAAGTGGCCAAGTTAATATCAACGAACAGGAGGTAGCCAAAGTGCTTCACTAAGAAAAGAATTGATATCTAAGTGGTTATTGATTCGGTTACATCGTCTTGAAACTTGTCTACAGAAAAAAGTAATATTACTGACAATACCCATATGTACAGTATCATTATCATAATCAGCCCATTTATTACATCCCACTGCTGGGCACGGATCTCCTCTCAGGCGAGCGTTTAGACCACAGGTTCCCAAACTTTTTAGCTCACCGCCCACTATTTTTTATATTAACTTACTACAAAAAATCTCATGGAAAAAAGTTATATACAATGTAATGTAGTTTTTATAGATAATTAAGTTTTTTTTTTCAAATGTGGTAGCGCCTCTTGCATTGCCCCAATTGTTTCCGAATTTTTTAATTTAGAGAGAATTTACCGCCCCCTTAGGACTTTTAAGGGCCTACCAGGGGGCGGTAGGGACCACTTTGGGAAACAATAATTTAGACAATAGTCCACCACGTGGGCCCAATGTGGGTTGCGGACTTTACACTTTTTCCGAGGGGTGTGAAACCTTCTTCGACGTGCTGGTTTTAATCACGATGTCTTCCTTCACCGATAAGTTCATAGTAAATCTGAAATTAAATTTCGCACATAAATTAAGAAAACTCAGAGGTGCGAGCCTGAACTCGAACCCACGGTGGCTTGGGGGACGGTAAAAAAAAAAGGTCAAACCATTAGATGACCACGGCTTTTACAGTACTACTGTCGATGAGTACTACAGAATCATACTAATCTGTAATTCATAAGCGATAAGTAATCTGTTTAAAATCCCTTTGCTGTAAAAAAAACTTTTAATTAGGCACATACGTGCCATTTAGCCATTTAACGTACCAACGTTAAATGGCTAAATGGCACGTATGACGTAGGCAGAATTCATAGCAATTTGCAAATTTACACCAGTAAATTTGCAAACTGTTATGAATTCTGTAGGTAAGTTTCTACAATTTTAATTATTAAATTCCATAGCGGCCATTGTATTTTTTCTGTAAAGGAATTTAGCAGTTGACCGCTGATAACCTCGACAAAAATGATTGAACCTATTCTGGTCTTTTTTATACATTGTACTAATATAAGCAAGAAGACGATTGTGTTTTTGTGAAAAAAATAATGAATTCCATGTGCTCCGTCATGGAGTTAAGAAAAACTCCGTAGAAGACAGTATTGTAGTTGTCTTCAATTTCGTCAATTTTTAACTTACACTAGCTGCTTTCTGATTGTTTTTGCCTCATATTATATGTCTGATGATTTGATTGCATGCCAATTTTTTTTCCTTAGTCAACTAGAAGTGGCAAGCATTATAGTGTATGCCATCGAAACGATAAGAAGTGGCATAGAATTTTATTACAAGGTGAGTTGTCTTCTTAATGCGTGGCTATGAGTGTGTACGTTAAAAAAAGGGTTTGATAGCGAGTATTAAAAGTGGCGATATTCTAGTTTTATAGCTTACGATATTTGTTTTTCAATGGAAGGAAAATTTACTGAACATACATAATAATTAGATTCAGTCGTCACTTTGCGGAAATCCATATTAATAAAAATGGAAGTAAATTGCTTTGCTACACCGTGAACTCTACGAGGCAACCTCTGAAGTTGTTGTTTGGTCAACACACGGCCGAAGAATGTGCTCGTTCAGAACGGTTAGCAATATTTATACCCCACTATTACCATCATTGTAATTTACAAACACATTTGAGAATAATCAAACAAGAGCGCAGCTATTCTGTGCGATTTAATCATCGCTAGGTTTGAAAAGGTCTAGGGAGCAGAAAAAACAACAGGATAATACAAATACACATAATATACATATTTGATGAAAATTTCCTCTAAAATTTGGCTCAGTGTATGACTCTTACACTTATTATAATTTCCAAGAATCGAATGGTGTGTTTAGTTTCCAATAACACAAACGGTTACCGTGTGCAAAGGTAAAATAAATATACTGATCAAATTTCGAACATACCGCTTAAAGTTCTCCCCCAGCCAGCTACAAACGCAGAGTCGCCTACGTCTAGTTCTGCGTCAGTTGTGGTCAGACAAATTGGTTTCACGTAGTCTGAAATTTTAAATAATAGTACATTATTACAGAGACTAAAAATATAAAAATAAGAGTCAGGCAATCCCCGTTACCGTTGAGGTACATAATAGTACTTTTATCAAAGAGTACGAAGAAATAACAAATGATTGAAGAATGAGCTGAGACCCAGCATTTATATTTTAACAAATTGACGCCGCAAGCACACAATGTTTTTTAACCAACTAAATTTAAATAAAAAAAAATTAAATAAAAAAAATATTTAAGGCGAAATGGTATCATGATTGCGTAGGCTTTGAAGGTAGATGCGGAGAGATTAATAGAACGATATTTAAATATTTGTCTTTTAGAAATAAAATATACTTTCTTACTGTAAAATAAGCTCACAATCCCTGATGTATTTATTACGGAACAAGGGATAGAAAATTTCATGAAAAAATGTCTCTAATAACAACCGAATGACCTTTTTCCGTAGATGAAATAAAAATTTTGCGAATTTTTTTTTATCGAGCGAAGTTTGTTTAATTGTCTTTCAGGCGCCGTAGTTCACCACCGGTATCTGTTTTCATTATAAAATAAATAAAAAAACAAATTTAATTCGTGTTTTTCAATGTCGAAAATGTGCGATCGAAGTACCTTTGCTTCACCCTTAGTAAATACAACTTAGTTTTACTGTTCGCGTCGTTATTAAAACAATACCTCCAATGAACACTATGCCAACTTAATTTTTGGATCTGTTCTGTTTTTATTTTGTCTTTTGTTTCTTTATTTTTTCACAAAATTCGTTATTTATTTTTCCGAGTTTTGTTTTTGTTTCTTTTTTTACAAAATTGGGGAACGTAATATTAATAAGTAAATAGGTACTTACGGCTGTTTACAAAATAACAGAAAATTACCAATAGGATAAAATTGCCGTAGTGTTCATTGGAGGTACCGAAAATAAATATTCTTACCAGATAGCCGAACCCTGCGAGCAAGTCTGACTAGTGCGATATCGTCTTGTCTGTTAATGTTTTTGTCACTGTAACCTGGGTGTGGATAGCCACCTGCCGCCGCTATGTCCTGTGGTCGAGGAGCGCAAGTGCTTCTATCACAGTCAACATCCTGTTGCGTGTCATATTCGCCTAGTCGAACTGTGACCCTAGAAATTAAAACATTTATGTGAAGTTCAAAAATAGTAACTTAGAGAGTTTCTAAAACCGCGAAGGATTCAGAGTGTAGCGAGTAAACAAATATGTGCTTTATTTAATGGATGTATTGGGATCATAGGCGAACAAGCAAATACCAACATCAAAATATTATTTAGTACTTTTTTATTTATGTACGCTTACATTCAGATCCGATAAATTCATTATTATGATTTCACCCCATAACTATAGGCGCAGCAATTGCACAACTATGGCGCTGAAGCCCTGCTACTACTAATTTTCATACAATATTTTGAAGATCGGCAGCCCCACTGTTTGACATGCGAGCGTCAGTTCAGTCAGTAATGAAGCGCTACAGACGCGCGGCTGCCGCGCCACAGTCGCGCCACTGCAGAGCTTCTACAAGCGTCTATTTTGAAGGCGTCCTTAATCTATAAGGAAACTTACAGGCTGCCAACTTGTTGTTCAATCTGTCCTGTTACACAATGGGCCGCTGTCAGAACGTATCGACTGTTGATTAAAACTCCTCCGCATTGATAAGATACGTTACCGCTTCCTTGAAAAATGATCGTTTATATTATTTTTGATACAAAAATCGAATAAACATAACTGTGTATTGGGTTTAAATGGCTTTTGAAAGTTTCTTCATAAATATCATTCATTCATTCATTCGTATCTATCATATAGAAAGAAAGAAAGAAAAGAAAGAAAAATAATTTATTTGGCAACATTTTACAATAAATAATACAAAACAAACTTGTGTTTATGATTGTTCATACATTATATGTTACCAAAACGGTCACCACTCAGCTTTTTGTAATGAGACGTTGAAGAACGCCTCATTACGCTGGTTTTCAGTGGCGCCATATATGGACAAAAAGAAAGATGGCGCCTCGTCCAAGCAGGCGGTAAGATAAAAATAAAACAAAAAAGAAATATAAAGATTAGGTACAAAACTTAATTACAAATATAAATCAAAACTTAAAATATTAAACAAAAGCATAAACTAATCCTAACATAGATACATAATAATAAAAATGAAATAAATACCAAAAATGTGATTATAATGTAGTGTAAGTGAGGTGAGTATACGTAGTGTAAGTGAGGTGAGTATATGTAGTGTAAGTGAGGTGAGTATATGTAGTGTAAGTGAGGTGATTAGTGTTAACACATTGTACAAATTGGCTCTGATCACTTTTTAAGAACTTTGCAAGCAATGCACGACTACCTTATGTAATGAGATTATAATTGAGTTGATAATAAAAACTTCTTATAGGTTAATTTAAAAGAGGCAACAGATTTGGAATTTCGTATTGGTGGTGGTATATCGTTCCAACATTTTGTGGCATATATCAGATCATTTATATTGTCAAGGCTGAAGAAGTAAATAAGGAAACTGAAGCAAGCAGAATCCAATTACTATCTTTCTGAAATTCCCATGGAACAACTTTTGTTTTTATGGAGAGATAACAACTACTTCAAACCTTAATACCGTTAATATTGGTTATTAGCCCAAAGTTTAAAATGTAGTCAAGAATTATACTTACGAGTGCGATATCCCAACAATGCCATCCAAGGGAACTCATCCAGATCTGTTATTTGCCCTCCAAATATTCTATCCGAATAATCAATTCCACATTGATCTCTAGGAGCAGGTGCTGAGTCTTCACTGTTTACAGGGTCTATCTCTCCTGAATTTGAGTTACTCTCTGTGTTGGTTGCCGGCCACACTGGTCGTGATGATTGGGGCTGAAAATATTCTTAGATACGTTATATTTAATACTTGCTGTAAGGAATTTAAGAACATTTTTTTATAATATCAAACGATGAGACAAACATTCCTTAGTAAGCGACCATAGATACACCTACTATATAGCAACTCGCCTACTTATAACAGTTACAGAGCCGCTCAGAGCTTTAAATCGCAAAGATTTGAGGAGCACTACCACAGCGCCCGTCACCCTGAGACATAAAGTTGACGAGTCTCGGTCCCTTCAAACCGAAACGCAATGTAGCTCATATTACTGCTTGGCGGCAGCAATAGAAAAAGTGACGGTACTTCCCTAGACGAACAATTTCACAGTGAACTCTACTGTTACTAAAATACATAATTATACAATAAATTAAGAGTTAGATAACGTCCGGTGCCTCCAACCGCCTAGGAATTTTGGGATTGGACAGCTCCGCTATCAAAGCAGAAATTTGATAGTTGACTTTACAGTCAAAGGTTTAACGGTGTCAATCGCTAGTTGTACAATGCAACGGGAGGTAAACGAGCCAACAGTTCCGGTACCTATTTGGACGTGTGAAGGCTTGCTTGCACAAGTAATAGTGCTGTATTCCCGTAAAACCACTGACCAAAGGTTAAGGAGTGGCACTATAAACAAAACTTAAGAGCCTTTGCACACGGCATATTTTACACGTGCGCATACGCGCCGTAAATGCGCGTCATCTGCGTAAGTATCGCGCATTATGATAAAAGATAGTTTTCGCACGTATGAATCGTGTATTTTGATAAAATAAGTTTTAATTTTAATTTTGTTTGTTAATTTCAGTCAGTTTTTTTTTATGAAGCAAGTACGTGAAATTGAACGTATAAATTGTAAGTCGACCTTTTTATGAAAATATGACACAGTCTCGGCGTATTTTTAAGGCAAAGTAAAGTGGTGTCAAAATGATACCGAGCAAATAAAAATGGATATTCTTGCTTCACATCATACTAATAAAAATTTTAAACATTTCTAGAAATGCACTAAAAATCTAAAACATAAATCTAGCGTCTCTTTAAATGTAGATGGTGTGAATGAACCCAGTGCCATTGCTGACATGTTTAGGCGTCACTTCCAGGTTGGAACTGCGCCCGGAGCCTGCGTGTCGCGGGAGCTCGAAACTAAGATCCATCAGTCGTCTGTCTCGCCTACTTTTAAGGCTAAGGAGGTCGATTCCGTAATTAAACACATGACGAGGGGTAAGTCCCCAGGGCACGATGGCTTAGCGTCGAACACCTGCAGCAGTAGGTATTCATCTGCCGAGAGCCTTAGCCATGTTTTATACTTTTTGTGTAAGACACGCTTATTTGCCAAACGAATATATGAAAACGGTGGTTGTGCTAATAATCAAAGATAAAACCGGTGACTCTTCTGATAAGAGCAACTATAGACCCATCTCACTAGCTAGTATTATTGCTAAAGTGCTAAAGTTTGCTTGATGGAATAGTGGGCAGTCATCTGAGGCTAAATGATGCACAGTTTGGCTTCAGTTTAGGTTTATCCACCGAGTCTGCAATATTGTGTCTCAAGCACACTGTCCGGTACTACACCAACCGAAATAAGTGTGAAAAACTTTTGAAATGGTATCCTATAAGTTGCTCTGGCATAAAATGAAAACAGAAACTACTATTCCACATGAGTTTATCGGGATATTCGATTATTGGTACAATAACCAGACAAATGTTGTTAGATGTTCGGGAGTTGTTTCCAGTGCATACCAGTTAAGGTGTGGAGTGAGACAAGGAGGGTTAACTTCGCCGCGCCTTTTTAATCTCTATGTTAACGGACTTATTGGAGAGCTCAGGGGTACCGCATTCGGCTGTTTCACTGACGGACAGTTCATAAACAACGTTAGTTACGCCGACGATATGGTGTTGCTGGGCCCGTCTATACATGCTGTCAGGAAACTTCTGGAGGTGTGTGAGAGATATGCCGAGGACCATGGGCTTAGGTACGCTGACGTCAAGAAAAGCGAACTCTTGGTTTTCCAGACACGAAGCTATAAGATATTCACTGTGCTCCCAGTTACTTTAAACGGCGTCCCTTTAAGCAGAGTTTCCCGATACAAGAACCTGGGCCACTGGGTTTCGGAGGACCTCTCAGACCACATCATCATCATCATCATCAACCCTTTTGTACGTCTCACTGCTGGGCACGGGTCTCCTATCAGACGAGGATTTAGGCCATAGTCCGCCACGCTGGCCCAATGCGGGTTGGGGACTTTACACGTTTTCCGAGGGTTGTGAACCATCTTCGACGTGCAGGTTTCATCACGATGTTTTCCTTCACCGAAAAGGTCATGATAAATTTCGCACATAAATTTCGAGAAACTCTGAGGTGCGAGCCCGGATTCGGACCCACGATTCTCTGCTTGAGAGGTAGTAGGTCAAACCATTAGACTACCACGGCTTCAGACCACGATACGATTGAAAGGGAGCGACGGTCGTTGGCTGTGCGAAGCAACATGTTGGCTCGCAGATTTGCATGTTGCAACACAGCGATATAGGTTACACTTTTTAAAGCTTATTGCCAGTCTTTCTATACGTGCCATCTGTGGCGTTAGCTACACGCAATATACAACAATGCCCTTCGCGTGCAATAAAATAATGTATTTAGGGTGTTGATTTGGCTGCCAAGACACTGCAGCGCGTCAGGTATGTTTGCAGAAGCTCACACAGATGACTTATATGCTATCATACGGAAAAAAGCTGCCTCGATGCTGAGTCATATCAGCGGTAGCACCAACACCATCCTACGCGTTATAGCCGACCGTTTTGACTGTCCCATAATGTCGCATTTGATTCGACTGCATGTAAGAAAAGTATGAATTTGTTAACATATTATATTTATATATTATATTTATATATAGTATATATATTTAATTATTTTTAATTTTATGCTTTTTAACTTGTGATTCAGATTTAAATATTTAATTTTGATTTAGCATTTAATTTATAATTTAAATAAATTTTTTTTCGATATCAATTTTATTTTAATTTTAAAGTGATTAACTCATTTCATAATTTAAGAATATGGATCATAGATATCTGAAATAAATGATTTATTATTATTATTATAAACTCGAGAGGGGTATCTAAGCTACCTGCTTGCGACGCGATGTTTACGAGCGTTTGAATCGAATGACTCGTTCATGAGACGCGCGTTGTCGGCGCGTATAAAATACTCCGCGTGCGTAAACTCGAAGTAGAATGGGCCAGTAAATTAAGGTTTGATAGACAAAATCATAAAGGTAAAACATACAGGCGAGTCAATGTTTATTAGGATAGCGGAATATCCAGATGTATCAAATTAAAATGAGAAGACATTTTTGAAAGCTGTTCAATATTTTAAACCTACGGTAGAGGTCTCCGGTGGTTGTCCTAGAGGCCCACAACAGACTTGTGGTGTAATGCCATCGAAGCCACATTGCGAGAGTTTCAGGAACCTGAGGTATGCACTCGATAGAGGTCGTTGTTCAAATGCAGCCAGAAGTGGAGGACAATCGTAGAGAGATATACATTGACTACGCTGTCCTAGAGGTGTTGTACAGGTGTCTGAAATAGGATGAAACAAATATTTAATTATTTAATAAATACAACAATAATACCGAATTATTATTTAGATGGATGAATGGTTTTGGACAATTAAAAACATTTTAAATTTTAAGTGAATTAACATCCAATAATGTTTTGTGAAGTTACTCCACTAGTTTGTTATAATTATTAATACAAAGATCGAACACTCAGTAAAAATTCCTTCGATCCGACCGGATTCGAACCGACGTCTTCTAGCATACCATGCTAGACGCTATACCAACTAAGAAACGGAACGATCCCGCGGACCACACGAATTTGTCTATGTGCTTGTTGTCGTATCTTTGTATTTACTTTTTAAACGACCTTTTAGTCGTAGCGCCATCTATGAGAAATCTATGAAAGTTTTTATCACCCAGTTAGATACCTTTACAGCTACCAGCCCTGGCGAGAGATGTCACCATTCACTGTATTTTAATTTTTTATTGAATTGATATTCAATTATTTTTTGTGAAATTACTCCACTAGTTTGTTATAATTATTAATACAAAGATCGAACACTTAGAAAAAATTCCTTCGAGGCCGGATTCGGAATTAAAAACATTGTTTTCGTTAATTGTTTTTTTTTTCACCTCCGTATCACCTCATGGAAAGTAACAGATGCAGAATTGGCGTGAGCCGGACAGAAAAATCTCTATGTTCGTAGGATAAGAGCGAAAAAACTTTGTACGTCTCGCATGTGTCGATTCACGTCATCCATCGTCAACATCTTTATTTCGCTCTTACAGCATAGACAAACTTTTTTTCTGTTCCTCCATCGACCCAAAACCCCGATATTTATCAATCAGGAGCCTTGAATATTCTTTAGAAAAAAATATCTAAAATGTCAAAATATTTAAAAACTACAATTAAACATTGAAATGTCAAAAAATGTGAATACATAACTATGCGAAATTATGATAATGTTATAATGCTTCAGTATTTGTTTTGCATCAGTTCCGGGCACAGATATAGGATATCTATGGTTCCGGGTGTAGTATACTAGTGACAACCATTTCGTACAAGCAGTAATTACCAAAAGTAACACGTAGGGGTTTAAAAAGTAACAACTTTTTCAATATCGACAATCGGAAACACAGAACCCTAAAACGAGTTTTTTAAATCGTGTTCTCTAATTAAAGCACATAAGCGTGTTTACTCATTGTGAACAAAGAACGCATCGTTCTTGAATAGAAACTCGTCGTACAGGGAAAACAAGTTGAAAATATAATTTTACACAAATTTTATACAACTGACAATAATGTTGTCAATTTCGTACTGAAATGTCGCACTGCTATTACAATATTGTTATAACTTAAAACGCGTGCAATTCAAGATTATGCTATTACAGAACGTAAAATTAGTTTTTTTTTTATGGTACTAAGTGACAAGATGACCAAGTCGTGCTTATGGTAGGCGTCACGCGTGTTCATAACAGGAACTCAAAAGGCACTGTTAGTGCACCCGTCACCCAGAGACATAAGTTGAAAAGTCTCATGCGGTACCTATTTCACCAGCACCCTTCCCCTTCAAATCCGGAACGCAGTAATGCTCGCATTACTGCTTGGCGGCAGAAATATATAAGGTGGCAACACTACCCTGGACGAACTCTTTCACAAGGAGCTCTACTACAACGAACAATTTAGTAAAAGCATACTGTCCTTTCATTTACATACTGGCCTTCATTATAAAACTACATTTCGAAAAAAAGTGTACAAGTATTACATTGTAATACTTTTATCGATAAAATACAAAATCTCAACGATCTCTTTTGGCTTTTAATGTTTTAGGTTATCAATATTCGTTAAAAACCTTCCAATATACAATAAACAGTAAAACTTACAAATTTGGTTCCACAAGAGCGATGACAACACAAAAAACAGCCCATACTTCATTTTTATCCTATAAAAATCACTGAAAACACACTTTTGTATACTATTAAAAAAAAACTTGTAACTAACATAAATATTCACTTTTCAGCATAGCAGTTAAATTCTAAAATTTAAATGTTTTATGCTACATTAATTATCAAGTATGTGAGACTTGGGATGCGCATAGGCATGTACTGAATGTTGGAGGTCAAGATCGCAATACTTATATGTTGAAGCATATTATTCTTAGTACCGTACGCAGAAAAATAATACGTCATTGCGTCTTTGTGGCATGATAAATATGGTTACCATGATTATTTGCACGTAAACAAAACAACACTAGAAATTAACACTTTATACAAATACCGCGGTATCTGACTTGTGGTGACACTGTGGCCCCATCCTATATTCATGCAGGAATGGTGGCCCGGGCTCTGGTTTCAAGTACGCCAACCAGAGCCAGTGCTAAGGCTGTGAGTTTTACGGTGGACGCTCTGAATTTTGAGGCACCAATAGTGACTCTCCTTGTTACAGAACATGCAATTCGCTTCACTGAAGCATCAGGTGACCTGGTTAACAGTTGCTTCCGCCAAAGAATAAGCGTAGTTACCCAAAAGCGATACCAGATACCAGCCTCCTGATCACGGCCCTAAGTAAGTAACTAAAGCACTTGTGTTATGTACTGAAACAACAACGGTACCACAAACACTCAGACCCGATACAATATAGAAAGTTACTTTTCTACATAGACCCGGCCGGGGATCGAACCTGGGACCTCAGAGGTCAAACCTTCGTCATCGAGTACCTTGCATACCGGTTTTGCTGTACTTCAAATATATCCGGTACTTCAAATATTCTTAACAGCTTAATTTTGCTTATTAGACATACTACATATACACACCACACACTTAGCACATATACAATACAAACGCATCATTCACCATACCCACACATACGCACAACCATATACACAGGTTAAAATTTATTATTTTTATTTCTCTTTCATATTCTGTTTGTATTAATTTTATTATATAAAATGTTTGAATAAATATTTAAAGTAAATTCTACGGAAGACGCTGCGTCTATACTGCAATTTCATTATAAAACTAGTACGGGCGCGAATGTTCAACCTTATCATAAAATGTACCTCGCATAATAATTACGCATAATGCTAATAGCAATTGCCTTGACTCAATACAGATTATTATTATTATTATTTATTTTTATTATTTTGTAATATATTTGTATATAGGAGTTACGTAAACAGGACACCAAGTATACTTATTATAAATATACTTAGTGGGTCCTGTTTACTTAATAAATAGATGTATTTGTCCTCAATTTAACGTAAGTATTAAGAGATGAAGTTCTATTTTCAACTGCATTTAATTATATTTACCTACCATTATTGTTATTATTTTTATTCTGACCGTACGAAATATTTTCTTGTCCATATTTACGTTACCATCATGTCTCTTCGGATCGCTCGCGATCGACTGCGTCATCATACGGATTTACCCGTGGCCTTACTGCTCCTACGATATATACATAACTAGCATGTTTGTCCAGTTAGCATTTCGAAGAACTAGTAAAATTGTATATATTTTTATTGCAAGTATCCGTACACATGTAAAGATGCCTTAAAATACTAAATAATTATCAAATACGTATGTATATCAAATGTACTTGTAATTTAAGGGCAAATGTACACTTTGGATTTTGAACCGTAGTAATTGTAAGTGACATAGAGTTCAAATTGAATCATAAGTATAAACTGTGATTGGCATTGGCTGCATCTTAACGTGTCGGTAAACATATTCGTGTCATCGACGCGTCACTACTATTTCCAACGAATGTTGTATAATTATGAAGTCGGCCACAGTTTTTTATCGGGTTGAATGACGGGGCGGAACCTTAGCTTGATAACTCCAAAATAAATTTCTATTGATGATTTAATGGACCTCGGCGTTATTGTGTTAGCTGTAAGGCATTGATTTAGTAACAGTAGAGCTCTTTGTGAAAGAGTTGATCCAGGGAAGTACTGCCATCTTACCTATTTTTGCCGCCAAGCTGTAATGTGAGCTTTAGTGCTGTCGTTTTTGAAGGCTAATGGTAGCTCTGAAATTACAGGCACATCTCTATTATTTAACAAAATACCACGTAGGTAGCCTCTGGTTCGCCAGACTTGAATCCAGTTTAATCAACGTCCAATTGACGATCTAGTAAAATTCTTGATGGCGAAATAGATTGGTAAATGTATATAGGTTATCAACGGTTATCAAAGGTTATAAATACAGATTTGTGCCATTCTATGCGTTGAAGGTTTTTAGTGCGATATAATCGCATTATAATTACAAGCTGAATTAATAAAATTAGTTTTTTTTATTATAACACATTTTGTCTCCTTTTACTTCAGAGCCTTGTTCTGCACAGCACTGCGGTCGCCATGTTTGTTTTCTGCAGCTTTCCTTAAAAAAATACCTTATGTTAATCCTTTAATACCGCAGCTCCCAATCTTCCGACCTCTCGAATATCAAACAAAAACATAATAAAAGTAACATTTTTAAAAATAAATTAAGTTATTTTTAAAAGTATATGCACCCAAAAGGACTTATCATCGAATATCGAAAACGCTCTACTGATACAAAATACAAATTCAGTATCGGGAAATCGAGAATGCTGAATTCTTATTGGTTTCAAAATTTAAAGTTAAATTACGTCGCGCTACAGGTTGGTGCGTAATTGACACATTACATTCTAAGTAAAAAGCAGGAAATGAGAAAATAAAAAATAATTGCAATAGAATTACTGCTAATCGACACACTTCACAATCAAGCGATTTGTGCAAGTGGATCGCAATTTCCTTTGCAATTCGTTTAAGGATTAATACAGTGACTTATTCAGTGAGTCTATAAAACGATTTTTAATATTTCTTTTTAAAAAAAATGTTCATTGGAGTTCTAACGCTAGCATTCGTGCGAGACACAATAATAGAGAGAAAACAATTGCCGTTAATTAATTATTTATTTCTTAGGTAATCAAATTACGCTTGAAAATAATAAATTGAAGTAATTACATATTAATTAAATAATAAGTATGAAAATAAAAAGCAATGTGAAATACATGACTCTTTATAGTGTTTTGTCATGTTATTGCACCCCTTTTTATAGGCCGCTCTGCTAAACTTAATCCATCTCTGATTAACAACATTAACTTTCATGTCTCGTAGCTAATTGTGTTGGCTCCCGGCCGTGGGTCTAACATTTGATTACGCAGTCGTTTGAAACCAAATGATCCATAGATAAATTCATAAGAAATGTCATTGGACATTTAGTGACATATTTACGCAATACTAAATAATCATCACGATATTGAGAACACTCAACCGAATTCGAATTCGAAAAAAACATTCGAATTGATGAATTCTTTTCCTAATAATAATAATTATAGTTTTAAAGGTAAGAAAGATTGAAATTGTCTTATGGACCCACTGAATAAGTATCTGTATTAATGTGTAACAAACAATTAAAATATTAAGTCACGGCTCTTATGTTAATACAGTTACTGTTTGTAACCTTTAAAAAGGTAATCTTTAAATTTCAAATAAGTATAACTTATTCCCTTTGTTTGTGTTCTGAAAGCAACAATGATGGCTCGCCGTAGAATTCGCATCCGTTTTATTAAGGTGGTAATGTTTATTCTAATTAAATAAGACAAAGGTTTTCCGCATACACATAAATAACAAATACAAAATTGAACAGTAACAATGACATCAGAAAGTAAAAGGAATGTAATTTCTTGGTCAGACTAAACTTTCTGAATTATCGTAAAATGTAGTAGTGAAACTATAGAACAAGGGGTAAGTACAAATTCTCTGGCAAATCGCAGTGTTGTAGGTGAAGCACGTATTCAATCGAACGGTCGGGCGGACAGCGGCCGGCTGGGGGGCTATTTTCATGTACGTGCGATACACTAAAGCGGCAATATATGTACGTTATATAATATTCAGGCTATGTATTTCAAGACGAGCCTACATTTTAGGAGGTGAGGTGTGGGGGTCGCCCCTCGCGTCTGCTACTCACAAATTATTATGAATAAAATAAAAACAGGCGGAGAAAATTTGACACAGATTCGACGTCGACAAGCGCCCGATGGCGACTGACGGTGTAGCAGGCGGCGCAACGTGTCGTTCAACTGCTGGGCAAATAAATAAATAAATAATAATAATAATAGAATAAATGTGAAATTAATAACTTCTACTTCTTAATCTATCGATGGCATACACTATAATGGTGACACTTCACACGGGTATTTGTATCTGCATATTTGATATATTTGACAAACAATCACCATGCGTACATAGCATGTATGACAAAGTATTTGCGTTGTTTGCTTATTCGACAAATACAGCAAACACAAACTCGCGTTACAGTGCAATTAAGTGACTGAGACCAGCTTTGTTATAAAAAAATACTTTATTTCTTATGCCAACCTAACTACATGGAATCCAAAATTACAATCAACCTCTTCTAACTTAAAATATGTAATATATAGAAGTTACAGAGCGTTGTCAGCTATGTGTTGCCATGCCGCATATCCTACTTAGATGGGTGCTGTCGCGGCGGCTTCGCAGGGCTGACGAAGCTGGTAAATAAGCGTTTCTTACACTTGACATGTTGCAGTGCGCTGGTCGGTTTCTCGACGCACATCAAAGAAGCCAAATAGACAAATACGCATGTAGACCGTCCACACTATGTTCATATTCATTATTTTAACTGCTAATTTGGCTCCATGTATAGACGGTCACATTTGACAGTGTTTGCATGTTTATCTGCACGTCAAATATTTTTTCAAGTACATCAAACATCCATTAGCGAATAAAAGTAGCCATGTGAAGTGTTGCCATAATGCTTGCCATCGTGGTGAAAGGATTTGCCAATCGGCGTAAGGTACTCGCCGATTGTTGCTCTGAGTGCACCAGACGTACATCGTTGGGGGAGGCTATTTTCGCCCATTTAATAATAAGTAATAACTAATAGGTCTTCAGTTGAAAACCAAAATTTAGCAGGTTCTCTGTAGTACTTAAAGTTACACATTTTAGATATTTTTCAAGATTTTATATGATCGGATAGAGTACATCCAATCGTGTAACACATTAGCACATTGTTTAGGCAATATCCTTAGGT